TAAAAAATAAAGGTTTTAGCACACATTACACTTACCTACAAGTTAACACATGGCCACCACCTTGAAATGAACATTTGAGGGTGCTCCTGTGCTTTGGATTTTGACAGATTTAGGATAGGTTAATCTGCTATCATTTCAAATATTGCCGTTACAATTTTGCAAACATCAGACTGATTTTGTTCCTATACTACTAGGAAAGAAAATCCATAATCCCACTGTGAGGAAGGAGGGAGGCAGGCAGTGGCTGAAAAAGGGTGGCTTAGTTTAGGCCTGCAGCACAATCCACAGCAGATCTTGGTAGGCATGTTAGAGATGAGCTTAAGTCTGTTGGGATTCCCAGCCCACGCCGCCAAAACTCAGCAGCAATCGAAAAGCTCTGTCTACCGCCCCCGAATTCCAGCTTTCATTCGCTCGCAGAACCTCTGAACTTCACTAACATGCATGAAGGAACATTTCAATTTAAAACCGACTGTTGCTGTGACGCAGCCGTCTCTGCACGAAATGCAACCCAAATAAGAATAACTTGGTGAAAGGTGCCCATTTCTGCTGCCCCCTCCCTCCATCTCGCCTGCCAATTTCTGTCCGGAGGAGCCCCCCTACGGCAAAGCACCCCACCTCCCAACTTGGGCCAAGCGGAGGCTGGGCGGGAAATGCCAGCGCAGCCGTGCCGAGCCCGCGCCGCAAAAGGCCCCCGAGCCCCGCCGCCCACCGACGGACGGCGAGGCAGTCTGGCTGGGGCTTAGCGCCGGCGACCGTGGCAAGCATCACAGGCGCTTCCTGGCAGAGCGAGCCGGTCCTTGGCAGGCGCCGAGCCGGTGGCGCTGCGCCCAAGCGAGAAGACGCTGCGAATCAACCGCGATAAACAAAAGCTGCCGCCGAGGAAGACGCGCGGCAAAGGCCGCCGCCGCCGCCGCCCGACCCAGGCGCGCTCCGCTCTGATTGGGCAGGGCAGTGGGGCGTGGCCAAGGCGCGGCCAAAGGGAGGAGCCGGCCCGCGGGAAGCGGGGAAATGGAAGTGGGCCAGGGTCGCAATTCAGCGAGGCTGCTGAGGAAAGCCGCTTCGCCCGGCGGGGCTGGCGGAGCGAAGGCCGGGCTTCTGCAGTTTTAAGTATTAACAAACCCGTTGGGATTCCCGCACTGTTACCGATGCAAGAGCCCAGTCCCCCTTTTTCATCCGGCCACCTAACTAAGGTTGTCAAATCCTTGCTCCTTTTACTATACCGGCCTTTAATTCTTCTTAGAATGCAAACATTTAAGCAAGTGAAGTTAAAAGTGCACTCTTTCTTTCTTTCTTTCTTTCTTTCTTTCTTTCTTTCTTGTAGCTTTCAATACTTCAGCTTAATTGGCAAGTAGAAGGGGAGCGTGAGCGAGTTTTAACATACACACAGACGCACACAGATCACAGTTTGTTTTGTTCCATTCGTAGTGGATTAGAATTATTAATGCCTTCTTTTCACATGTCTTACGTTTGGATCTCCAAATTTGCTCCATACATGCAGAGAGAGAGAGAAGCGTACCAATAGCGGCAGCTGCATAGTAACCGGCAACGACTGATGAAGCCGCGCTAAACGACTCGCGCTTTCATCAGGGCAGAGGCCAACGGTTCATAGTGGACTCACGGGATACAGGACACAAATCCCGCAGGGGAAAAAACAGATATGGGGTAGGCTGAGAATTGCAACAAGATCATATCTTTATTATGGAACTCGGGAGAAGATGGAAAGTCCCCCTTCCATTCGTTAAGCACAGATCCAGTCGCGTGTACAAGTTCCTATTTTTGTCCGTTTGGATGGTAAGTGCGATGGAGAGCACACTGACACGGCGCCTTCCAAAATTCAAGCTTCGCAGTCTCTCTATTCGTTGTGGCGAGGTGGACTACCGGACCTCCGGCAGGTGTTCACTTCCAGGCGTGTCAATTTCACATTCCGCCATTGATGCAGCTACAAAAGGTGACTAGTAAAAGGCCAGTACTTGGACTCTGGGATAGCGAGGGACAAAGCATAGTTCTTCACAGGGAGATCCGGTTGGGGCGCGGGGTTAAATTCAGAATGGGCTGTAACTCAGACTACTAAACAAGCAGACAGAAAAGCCGGGAGCTTCACTAGAAGGGGATTCCTCCTGCCAACCAAGGCTATCAAAAAGCCAAGTTCTGGCCTATTCCCAGAAAGGGACTAGAACATTTCACATCGCCTACGAAGGGATTCCGAAGGCCCGCAGCAGAAGGCCGATCAAGTCTGCTCCGGGCTCGTTTGCCAGCGAGAGGGGATCGTGTCGACGGGCCCCCACCTATTGTTGGACTGCAATTCCCACTAGCCCTAGCCAGCATTGCCAGCATTGAGGCGTGATGGGAGTGCCCCCTGTCTCTGTCTCATACAGCTCGACTGATGCCAAGCCAAGTTCCGAGCAGGCCACGGTTAATTTTACTGTTAACGAGGAAGCGAGACGAGGAGCGATTGGCGGGCTGTTCGCCTTTGGATTCGGATTTGGCCCGAGGTAGATCGGGAGGGAGAGAGCTTTGCCTCGAAAGACACACAAGTGAGCAATAGGAGGAAAGAGACTTTCCTCGAGTGCTTCAACAAGGGAGACTTATCTGAGAGAAGACACACGGAGCTAGAATAGATCTGCAATCTTGCTCATGCTTTCCTGGGAATCAGCTGGAGAGTAAAATGAAGTTTTAGGCTGGGCCTGAACCGTGGAGGGGAAGGACGCAGCCTTCTTAAAAGGTTAGCTTCACTCTCGAGTAAGCAAACAGAACCGAGATCGCGCTTGTGTGCGCACGATCTGACACCGAGTCTCGTCTGAGGGTGCTCATGCACAGGACTAGCCTGCGTTCTGTATGCCTGCTGGGAAAAGGGCCGAACTGGTACCCATCATTGGGTCCTGCCCAGTTTACTTTGGCGCCGCCCCCTTTGCCTTTGTCCCCGCCCCCTCGCCCCGGAATCGAAATTCGGACCGGTGAATCACGTTCTGCATCTGCGTTGGGCCTTAATGGCTCCTCGCTCTCCCCTCCACGCAAGCGTGGTGGTTTGTTCTCTCAAGCGCCCGCACTGGCTTGGAAGAATTAAAGAATTCTGAAGAACTAACAGTCCAAAGCGAAGCCCGTTTACTTGCAGTTAATCCAGCTTATTTGGGTGGGATGCACTCCTTAGTAAATACATAGCATTGCAGTCTAACAGTGCGATCCTATGCGTTTCTACTGCGAAATCCCACCAAATTCAATGGGGCTTATTCCCCGGTAAGTGGGGATAGGATTGCATTATTTCTCTCTGGTTCTTTCCTTTCCTTAACATGAATTTGGTAGCCCGGGAGAACCGGATCGTGTAACTCCGAAAACGTAACATATAATCCTTCTAGGTGCCACTGCTTTAATTGCTAAAACTAATTCGACCTCAAAGTTGTGAGCCTTGTGACGATGCTACTGCTGGAAAGCTTGCTTTTGAAAGCACTCGCAACTCCCATATTCGCCTAAATCCCCAGGACTTCGAAATCAGACTCATTTGTCCTACAGGGTAAACGGAGCTCAGATCTAAAATGCATGCACTTGGAGGCGCGCTCCATTTCTGGGTGTTTCAGCTCCTAACGTCTTGCTACCCCTACCTAAGGTTTTGGTCCAGGTTTGCCTAGTATGCCTACTTTAGAGTAAATTAGAAAACGAAGTAGAGGCTAAATACAGATCCACAGTAATCCTAGTTAAGTTCACTCGGAAGTAAGCCCCACTGAATTCAATGATACTTACTCCCAGGTAAGTATCCAACAGGATTGCAGCCTTAAAATAATGTCCTTTCTGCCCCCTGTGGAAATGGGATAGATCGCCAAGGAAGCGTGCAGTTGGAAACTCTTGGGAAATGGGGTGCGGGGGAGGTCTTCCACCTTTATCCTGCTGCAAGTGGCTGCGATTTACTAATACCCGGCTCAGGAATGTCCTTGGGCGATAACGCGAGCCAGGAGTGACAATTGCCATGACTGGGCTCCCTCGGAATCGTTTTGGGGCAATCCGACCTGGCCGGGAAGGCTGCTGGGCGATAAAGCAATGGAGCCAACCGACCAGGAGCCCCTGAAATTAACAGTGCCCCCCACCGCGAGCGCTGCTGGCTCGGAAGGGGACCTAACAGTGAAGTTTATTTTGGAATAGATAACAGATCGCTGTGAACACGGGGCAAGATGCTCTCTGCTTACTTTGAAGTATGTGCCACTGAATGTAATGAGCAACCGGATAAGCGGCCGCTTCCTAAATGCACAGCGCTCTCTTCAGGGAAAATACGTTTCCCAGAAAAGGGCTTTCCCGGCGTGTGAGCGCGCAAAGTTGGGCGATCCCGACGCAGGGAGCTTCCTTTCATCGGATCGCGCTGCTTGGCCACAAGCCAAAGGACGCGGACCAGGAGAGTCTTCCTTTCCAAACAAATGCGCGCAGTGCGGCGCCCGCGCAGAGCATCCTTGCCTTTATTCTGCGACTTTATTCCCAGGCTGCCTAACTTGGCAAACGTGCCCTGAACTCAGCGAGACTCCCTGGAGGTGCGAGGTGCCTGGGATTTCAAGGGCTCTCCGAATTCGGGAAGTCATTCCGGAGTGACGCCGCATATGGCGTGAATCCGGCTTGTGGCCGAAATGTCCTTCCCGTTTCTTTGCCTCGAGCGCTCGCCCGCCTCGTCGTCGCTGCCGCCCCTTTTCCTTTCTCGCTGGATCAGTCAAAGCAAACGCTTCGCAGGACGGAAGCTGGCGCTGGATTGCCAAGCTCCTCCGAGGCCGGCGAGATCTTAACGGCAGACCCGATAATTGCCGTGCTGGGCACATGAGCGCCAGGGACGCGCGCCGTGTTCCCCTCCCAAACACATGTCAAGAGAGGGAAAGGACGTCGGTGCCGTCTCCCCCGATCCCAGCCCCTCTCCAAGATCATCAGCGAGCCGCTGCATGGCGGAGATCCAGCTCGGGAAATGCTAAGCCGTCCCAGAAGAGTTAGCCGGGCCGGGTGCGGGAGCCGAAAATGAAATCAGCCTGCTTGAAATGGGGGGAGGAGAGGGGGAGAAAGGGGCGGCGAGGTGCCCCGAGCAAGGAAGCGAGGCGCTCGGTGGCGAGTCGCAGCCGCGACGTTCGTTGCCTGGTGCCCACGTGTGCCCGGCGCTGTACGCGGGGACGCGGTCTGGGCAGCGGACTAGTTCTCCCATCGGTCTGCTGGTAGGGAGGCAGGGGAGGGAACCTGAGGTGCTCCAGGGACGCTGGCAATTACAGGTTGCACGCCAGTCCATCTGCTCTCGGAGAAGCTGCTTCTCCGGGTAATCCTCTTTGCCTCTCCCATCCACACCTGCTCCTGAGTCCAGCAAGGAAGCAGATCTGCAAAGCGCTCGGAGCGCCAGGCCCTAGTGAAGAAGCGGCCGAGTGAGGCTCACTTCTTCCCAAGAACCGGACAGGAGGAGATCGCCGTTGGCGCGGAAGGGAAGCGAAGGGAGCCCCACGGGGGCAGCGAAGCATCGCGCCTTGTTGCGCCTGGGAGGGCCGAATAGATCCTAGTCTGACATCCCGATCCCGAGGAGGTTTCGTCGCCACGTATTCCAAGATGACAACACCCTCATAATAATAATAATAATAATAATAATAATAATAATAATAATAATAATAATACACCTCAGTGTCCAAGGCTGTCCTTAATAACGCACGTTACAGGTGGAGGTTTTTTATCAGTCTGCCGTGGGGCCGGAATCGGTCCGCTGAGATGACTGTGCGTTGTCCTTCTTTTTGGAAGGTTTGCAGGATGCATTTCCAAAAAGGCTCTAAAGCGGCTTGAAAACATTGGATAGAAACCAGTGCTCTCCCCACCCACCCCGCGGCTCTCTCCTGCCGCCCATTTCCCTCCTTCCCGTGAAGAAAATTAAGGCCCTCGCGCCTTCCTCGACATGTTTACATAGCCCTTGGCCCGGGTTACTGAAAGAGTGATTTGTCCTTAATTAGTGGATCATCTTAAAGCTGAGAGGCTCAAAACCAATTTAGCAAGAAATGGCCTTGTAATAGCCCAGCAATTCACTTCAGTGGAACCTCATTGGGACCGTTCCAGATTTCTCTCTGTCTGTCTGTCTCTCCCCCACACCCCCACCTCTCTGTGTGTGTAAAATAAGAAGCCTTTGGATCCACAAGCGAGTTAGGCAAGGAGAGTGTGTGTTTTGTTTTGGAAAAGGGGATTGCAGTTTAGCGGTGCAGGACGATTTAAATCCAAGCCCGGGGTTGTTAGCAGAACCTGCAGTCACTAGAGGGGTACTTCTTTGGGAAGATATATGGGGGTGGGGAGATGTGTATTCGATTTAAATCAATGGGAGCAATTTTCAAGTCACGCCTCAAGAATAAGTCCAGAGATTCCCTCACTCTTGTGTCGGTGTGCGTGCGTATTTTACAGTCGGGATGCATTCAAATCAGTGCGGAAGGGTGGGGGGGACTCCTCTTCCTCATCGATCGAATTGTGTCATTGCTTCATACCACCAATTTTTAGTACCGTTCCTATTGCGTAACTTTGTCAACTTTCTCATTGCCATGCACACCTGGAGATCTCCATATTTTCTTCTCCGTAGTGACTTCCTCATTCGTTTCAGCCGACAAGGCAGTTCCTTGGCAGCCTGCTTTGCTGGTCCTCTGACATCTCCAATCCCCAATTTCCTTGGATTTTGTTCCAAGGAAACTGACAAGGCTTTTCTGGAAAAGGCGAAGGCAGCGGATCTCAGTAGCACTTCCTTTTGGTGAAAAGCAGGCACGGTTGCCAGGCGTGGAGATGTCCAAGGGGCCTCTTCCAAAGCACCAGAGAAAAAAAGGAAGACGAGTGCGAGCGGACCTGGGGCAGAAGCGGAGCAACCGAGATTGCACAGCCAGGTGCGCAGGCACGGACGCCTTCCTGGTCTGAAATGGACAAGCAGGCAGCGCAACTTTGCCAAGGAGAAGCCCAGCGGCGCCCTACTTCGGGTTCTTCTTCCTTATTTTTGAGGTCATACCATGAAGTTTCTTTCTTTCTTTCTTTCTTTCTTTCTTTCTTTCTTTCTTTCTTTCTTATAAAGGGGAGAAAAATAGATGATGACATTTCAAGGCGAAAAAAGAAAATTGATCTCGAGGCCTCTGAAGCCTATGCAAACAGATTGGGAATAATGCAAGGGGAGGGTGGGGGGCGATCAAGAGAAAAATGGGGGGAGAAGAGTCACCTCCTTCTCTCTGGGCGGGAGGTGGCGCGGGCGCCAATGAAAAGTAGCCGATCGCTCCCGGGGTGGGTGGGGAGGGAGGGAGGGAGGGGAGGGGGGCTCCACTTCCTCCCCTCCCTTCTGCCTAGTGCCTGTTGGAAGCGAATTGAGCAATTATCTAGTTTACCTTCTCCTCTTGGAAGTTAACGATTGGCGGGATCGTGGCTGCTGCTATTGACCCAACACTTTCCATTGAGAGAGAAAAAGAGGGACGACGAAGACGACGAGGACGAGGAGGAGGAGGAGGAGGAGGAGAGGGCGATCGTCCCCCGCCACAGGCACGCACAGGCGGCGATGGGCCGGCTCGAGTCCATCGGGGTGGGCAAGCCGGTTCTGCCGCCGTCCGCCGTCGAGATGGAGCTGCTGCTGCTGTTGCTGCCGGTGGCGCGGGCGGCCGGGCAGACGCTGAGGGTGGCGCCGGCGGCAGGGACGGCCTCGGAGCGCTCGGTGTCGGCTTCGGGGGAAGCCGAGGAGGCAGCGGCGGTGGCAGCAGCAGCCGGGCTGGGCTCCCCCCTGGCCGCTCAGTGACGGGGCGCAGCAGGGGCCAAGGCAGCTCGGGAGGCGCCTGTTCGAGCCAGCGGCCAGCCATGGACCATAGCAGGCAGCCGCCGCCGCCCCCGACGGCAGCCAAGAGCCTGGCCGCCCCTCGGGCCGGCGTGCTGAGCGCCTCCAAGCCGCTGGCGTTCTCGATCGAGCGCATCATGGCCCGGGCGGGCCCCGAGCCCAAAGCCCTGCCGCTGCTGCCCCACTTCCTGCACGGCGGGGCGGGCCCCAAGGCGGGGGACCCGCTCAAGCAGCAGCAGCAGCAGCAGCAGCAGGCGGCGGCCACGGCGCTCAGCCTGGGGCCCTCCATCCCCTGCATGATCCCCTTCGTGCCGCTGGCCTACGAGCCCTTCGCCAAGGCGGGCTCGGAGCCGCGCAAGTCCCCGCCGGAGCCCGCGCCGCCGCCGCCGGCGCCGCTGCTGAGCCTCAAGCCGCAGCCGGCGGCCGACCTGCCGCAGCACTACAAGCTGGTCCGGCCCCGCGTGGTTAACCACTCCTCCTTCCACGCCCTGGGCTACTTCAGCCGGGCGGCCGACCCCGTGCCGCCGCCGCCGCCGCAGCCGCCGCCGCCGTCGGGCCTCAGCCTGCACCCGGTGGCCTCCTACTTCCTCGGAGCGCAGCTGCCCGCGCCCGCGCTGCCCGCGCCCGCGCCGCCCAAGGCCTACCTGGCCGAGAGGAACAAGCTGCACGCCCTGCCGCCGCCGCCGCCGCCGGGCTCCGACAAGTACCCGCCGCCGACGGCCGCCTTCAAGGACTTGGCGCACGCCCAGCTGCACAGCGCCGCCGCCGCCGCCGCCGCCGCCGCCGCCGCCGCGCACCTGCTGGCCGCCGACAAGCTGCCCTTCAAGGCGGTGGCGGCCGACTTCAGCCGCGGCTCGCCCGGCGCCAAGCCCAAGGTCTTCACGTGCGAGGTCTGCGGCAAGGCAAGTGCCCCCGCGCGCCCCGCGCCTGGCCGTCGGGCCGCGCCGCGCCGCGCCGGCCCCCTTCCCCGCCGCCCCTGCTAACCGCGCCTCTCCCCCCCCCCCTTGCCTTCCCCAAGGTCTTCAACGCGCACTACAACTTGACGCGCCACATGCCGGTGCACACGGGCGCGCGGCCCTTTGTGTGCAAAGTCTGCGGCAAAGGCTTCCGCCAGGCCAGCACCCTCTGCCGACACAAGATCATCCACACCCAGGTACCTGCCTCTCTGTCTGTCTGTCTGTCTGTCTTGTCCGCCCGCCGCGCCTGCCCCGACGGCGCGGTTCCCCCGGCTCCCCCTTCCCCCCATCCCTCTCCGGCAGCGCCCGCGCCCCGCCCGGCGGCTCTTTCTCGCCGACCTTCTCCGCTCTGGTCGCCCCGTGAGCTCGCTTTCCTCCTCCCCAGCACGCCTGAGAAGCAGGGAAAGCGCGTGGAAGAGAATGGCCTTCCGTCCTTGGCGTGCATTCTGCCAGCCGGGAGTTTAGCTTAGAGCCCTCTTCGTGTCGAGAAGTCCGTTCTACGAAGGAGTAACTTTAGCTACAACTTCTCGTTCCTCTCTCCCTTCCCCCACCCGAACCATCTTATTTGGGAAATGCTCTTGAAGGGACCTGCTCCTGAGTAAATGTGCCCAGGATGGCGGTGCTAGAGAGCTGCCCGGTCCCTTTTCCTCCGGATCTCTCCCCGCGTGCCACTAGACGGCTTAGCATAATTTCCTTTACTAGGGCCTCGGCCCTAAGCGCACAGCGCGGAACTTCCGAAGAAACCGCTTGCCCTGAGTCTGTAAGTCTCTGCTTGCGACCTGTCCCCTTGCCTGCGAGATGCTGCGCTCCTTGAACATTTTCTTCCTGCCCTTGGCTAGAGCGAAGAAGGCAAGAATACTGTTTCAAGCCCCAACTAACCAGTTGCTGCGCTAGGAAGCTCCTTTTCGCGCATCTTTTTATTTTCCTCCCTTCTTCCCTCCCCTTCGCGCCCCACAACAGGAGAAGCCCCACAAGTGCAACCAGTGCGGGAAAGCGTTTAATCGGAGTTCCACTTTGAACACCCACACGCGGATCCACGCGGGCTACAAGCCCTTCGTGTGCGAATTTTGCGGAAAGGGCTTTCACCAAAAAGGTACCCCTCGCATGCATCGAGTTCTGTTTGTGCGTGTTCTTTACTTCTTCCGGGTTCCAGATAATGCATGCAGAATGTTGTTGTTTTAAAAGGGAGGCCGAAACACGACGAAGTGCGAAAAGCACAACAAAAAGAGTTTCCGTTATTTATTGATATGAAGAGGCAGATGGCTGTGGAAGATAAGAACAGAGCGAACTCAAACAGAGGCTGCCTTTCTCAGCCTGGTCCGAAAATGTGTATTTCCGGCTCTTCCAATTTTATTTTCCACCGTCACTTCTGTTTAAATAGGATGGTGGGTGGGGAATTAGGGTGATGTGAAATGGTTCGAAAGGTTGTGATTGTAATAAGGAAGAAGGTTAAATATGATCAAGCTTAATTCTACTATCCGCGTTTACTCGGAAGTAAGTCCTGCGGATTTTTAATGGCTTCTGCTTCAAAGTGAATGTGCCCCGGTCGTTAACCCAAGGCAGCAAGCCTAGAAGCATCTACTTGAGAGAAAGCCCACTTGGACTCAATGGGACTTGGATCCAAGTAAACAAACATATGGTTAGAGGTGTGGCTAGAGCAATATGAAAACAAAGGTCAAGTATTTTGAAGGATTTTGCTTGTGTTCAGAAGTGAGTGGCCATTTTAGTTTAGCTGAAGCTGCAGTCCAAAGGACACACTTGCCTGGGAGAAAACTGCACTGATTTACATCAGAGTAAAGATACACTGCGCTGCAATTAACATTACGATTTAATTTCGTTCAGCTATCACGCAGCAAATTATTGGCATGATAATTCGATCAAAATCTGAATTGTTCTTTTAGGCAAGAGGTAGTCAACTGGCTTCCACTTGGTGTCCTTTAGTCCAAGTGTATCGGTCCAGACAATTATATTTGCCTGGACCAATTTGACTTGGTTTCACTTTAAAGCAAAAACCCTCTTTCTGAACTGGAAAGGGGGCGAGATGGGAAAATAAACCGGGTTATTTGTAGGATATGCAAGCCGATGCATTTCTGAAAATCGGCTTGGAAGAAAGTCAGTGGAAGTTTCTTCCAAGCTGGTTTTGTATCTGGGCATAAGTCGGCTTCAGGAGGGTCCCAAGAATTTTTCGTTGTTTTTTATATATGTATCCGTGATGATCTATTAATAAAATCCTTCCAGTTCAGATAGCGAAGTTGACTCTGCACGTCCTGGCCAAAAAGTACTTTACATCGGAGTCCAGCAGTTCCGTCTTCTTTGTTTTAATTTTTGCTCTGCAGCAGACTGGGACGGGGAACTCCAGCTTTTAAAAGCCGCTTTAGGGCCCTGATCCCATGGGAGCTCCTGCGCCTACTCTGGAGTAAAAATGGAGGCGGAGGGGAAAATGCAGCGGCCAGACAGGGACTGAAAATCATGCCCGTGTTGACTCTTAACGTTACGTGTGAAACGGAGAGGGAATGGGTGGTGAGGGAAGGGGGTGGGCTGGACCGCGGGGCGGAGGAAGCCCCCCTCTGAACGTGGCTAAGCGCTTTTCCCTGTTACGTGTCTCCCCCCCCAACTCCCCCCCCCGTTCCCTGTGCCTTTAGGAAACTACAAGAACCACAAACTGACCCACAGCGGGGAGAAGCAGTTCAAGTGCAATATTTGCAACAAGGCCTTCCACCAGGTGTACAACCTGACCTTCCACATGCACACCCACAACGACAAGAAGCCCTTCACCTGCCCCACGTGCGGCAAAGGCTTTTGCAGGAACTTTGACCTCAAGAAACACGTCCGCAAGCTGCACGACAGCACCGGCAGCCTCGGCGGCGGCGGCGGCGGCGTTGGCAACAGCAGCAGCAGCAGCAGCAGCAGCAGCAGCAGCTCCTCGTCGGGCCGGCCGCGAACCCCCGGCGAGCCCGAGCTGCCGCCGGCGCTGCTGCATCACCCCTGAAGCCGCCGGACCGTCGCCGCGCCGCGCCGCGCCCCGCATGCCCCTCGCCGGCGGCTCGGCGCCCCCTGCCCCTCGCCCGCCTCCGGGGACTGCCGCGGAGAGGCCGCGGGACTGCCATCCTTTGTTGAGAGGGAGGGAGAGGAGAAAGACTCTGCGGCCCTCTCCCTCTCCCCGCGCTGGGGACCTGCCGAGCGAAACTTACTTCGGGTGTATTTATTGAGCTGGGCGGAAGCCCGCGCTTGTCTCCGACGGGTTGTGTCCGACGTCAGTCTGCTCCAAGTAGGAGTAACGTAGGACAGAACCCCCCGCTGGGAAGCTTGCCTAGGGTTGCCAGATCCTCCCCCAGGTGTCTGTTCTTGCGCGCTTGCTTGAGCGGAGGGGAGTGGAGAAGGCCCTTCTGTACAGAGGCTCTTGTATTCGTTCCTGCAAAGGACTTCCCCCTTCAGTTCGGAAGATGGTTGCTCTGTGAGAGCATCTCCCAGGCGTGGGGGTTTCCAAGGTTCCCTGGAGCTCTCCACTTCCCAAGGCCATCCCTTATTCCAGAAGTATTTGCCCCACACCAGACACTGGCATGTTTCAGGCCTTAAATGGAGCTGTGGAACGTCGAGGCCATAAGATGGCTGCCTTGATCCTAGGTTCCCCAAGGGGGTGGCGCATTTTCCCAAAGGGGTGCACCTTAGTGGGAAAGTCAGTCCCTGATGATGCCCGGAGGAGAAAGTGACCCCAGATCTAACCCTCCTGTAGTTTTCTTTGGCCTCTGAGCAGTTTGCCCCTCATTGTTTCATGGATCAGGGTTTAAAAGAGAGAGAAGGCATATCCTCGGCGCTAACTTAGTGCTATATGATGCACAAGAAATCCAGTGCATATTCCAGGCTGGGCTTACACAGCTTTACTTAATGCAACCCAACCTGGAGGCCTTTAGATGTGTTGGGCTACAATTGCCCATCATCCCCAGCCAGATGACTTAAGGTGTTGGTATCTATCTCTGGGTCTGATCAAGCCTAGAGGCATGAAAATTCAGAGGACGATGCCGGAGTATGGCATGGAAAGTGCCCAGTTTAAAAGGATGCTCTTTCTCTTTTCCCCTTCCTTGTCACCACACCCAACATTCAACTTGGGTTGCTCCTTTTGTGAAGCACTGCTCAGCCCTCATTCCTGGGCAAGGGAGGGTGGCTTGCCTTTACTGGAGCGCTTTAAAGGACATGCCAGGGGCCCTCCCAACATTTGAGGAAAGATTGACTTTCTGGCCGCCTTCCTCTAGGGAATATAACCAGTGTCCCTTATTCTCTGCGGAGGACAGCGCCTGAGCACTCCTTCGATCCTAAGTGGGTACTGCGAAGGGCCAGCCCCACTTCTGCCGAGGGCACGGTAGAACTATCCCGGTGGAGGCGTGCTCGTGTGAGGGTTCCTCTCCAGTTGGGGCGGCTCTCGTGATATCAACGCTCTCCAGTGCACGGGAGGACCCGCTCCCCTTCCGGGATTTTCAGTGTCCCTTTGGATCTGACAACCCTAGGGCATCCGTTCCTTTGATTCCCTCGCTGTATATAGATTTCTCTCCTCTCCCCGCCTCCGCCTGTTCCCAAAGTGTGTGGATTGACTTTGCCTGCTGGTTGGCTTTGTTTGTCCCTCGGAGTCTTGATTTCTCCATTCCCGAGTGAGCCCCTTCCTCCCCCAAGGACCATCAAACTCTCTTTCCTAGCTCCCTGGCCTCGTACTGTCTTGTGGACAGGGCGTCTGGATTCAGTTTTGTATGGATCTGAACTTTCCGGTTGTATTATTTTTTTTAAATTATTATTATTGCACGTGCAAAAAAGAAAAAAAAGATGACTTTTGATGGATCTGGTGGTAAATAAACGGGTGGATCTCTCTTTTAAAATGGAGTACCCGAGAAGCTGATGGCTGTGGACGAATGATGAAGGGCTGGGAGGGAGGGGGAAGGAGCCGCGGATCGAGCCCTGGCGTGGCAGGCGGCCCGAGCGGCGGCGACCGCTGCCTGGTCTCTGAGAGGCGGCAGTGCGCTTAATCAGGCGCGGGTGTTGTCTAACCACAAAGCGCTCCTGTGCGCTTGCCAAAACACTGATCCGACTGCTAAAGAGTTTAATTAAGACTCGGGGGTAATTAATTCGGACTGATCAAAGCTCAGGGACGGGGATGACTCGCTGCCAGCTAAGCCAGCCTTCCCGGTTCGTTGGCGAAAAGGAGAGGGGGAAGCCGGGAGGGCGCACGGAGCGGTTGGGAGCTCCTTTTCGTTTCTCCCGTCCTTCGCCTCGGAGAGCCGGCATGAATGCCACTTTGCCCGCCTGCGAGTCAGGGTGAAGCCCTCCCAGCCTGGGGCGGGGAGACGAGGCACCGAAGAAGCGCCTAAATAGCCCGTCGCTCACGGAGCTGAGCGAGGGTGCGCCCCATCACGGCGGGGCTTCGAAGGTCCCGGCTGCATTTGGCAGCGGCCGGAACCCGAGGGTCACCTTTCCATTCCAGTAGGGAACAGAAGGCCGAGACAGGGCAGCACATCCCAAAGGCAGGCGCCTACAAGGTGCGCGTGCCCAGCGAGAAGGATCTGAGAGAGAGAGCCGTAGGCGGACAGCAAGCAAGAGACAACGAACAAGCGCAGGGGACGGAAGGGGCAGCGCGCAAAATCTGCAGATATCCAACGCGCAAGAGCGAGAAAGTTAAAAGAGAGAGAGGCGGCTTCTGGAAGGAAGGAAGGAAGGAAGGAAGGAAGGAAGGAAGGAAGGAAGGAAGGAAGGAAGGAAGGAAGGAAGGACTTTCCTCGCAAGGCAGCTAGGTGAAACAGGGCAGAGATGGGTAACGCCTAAGGCAGCCCGTCTTGGAACGAACTGGCCGGGAACGAAGGGCAAAAGTCCGCGGGGGGGAAATCTCGGGCTGAGAGCAAACGCGAGGAAAAGCGCTCTCACGCCAAGAGGGACCCGGAAGGGCTCGGGAAGCAGAGGGAAGGCGCGACTCCGCCACGTGGGTGAGACGGACGGGAAAGCGCCCAGCCCTCCCCCAGGTGGGATTTGGGATTGACGCAGGAGAGAGAGAGACGGAAGAGCTGTCTGGGGCAGGGAGAGTCGGCCCTCCGTCTGGGGCAATCCCAGGGCTTTGGTAATCTTGGCCAGTCCACGCGTAATGCTCGGCGGTTGGATAATGCCAGGAGTCCCTGATATTTTGTGATCCTCGGAGCCCTCCTTAGGCAGGTAAAGCGGGCGAGCTGGGAGATCCGAGCTTTCCTCAAGCTGGAAACTATCAAACAATTGATCCCTACCTTCTGGAGGTTTGCTATGCACGCCCCCGCCCCACTAGCCCCCGAGGAAAAGAGCGAGCTTTTACAAGATAATAGCGATGAGAATCGGTACGATCCACCTGCCGCCAAAGACGAAGCCCTGATTGATTTTAATCACTCTGGATTGAGCACTGCGTTATTGGATTCATTATCACTGTTCAGTATTGACATCCTGCGCTGTTATTACTCTGTGTGCTTGTTGCCATTTTGCGGGGTGCGCGTGGGGGAGGAAAATAAACCGATTCTCCTCTGGAGTTTTCCCGGCAGGATTCAGCCCCTCCCTCCGTCTCCCCACCAACTTTCAAAAGAGCTTTAAAGCGTATCCTGACGAAATCTGTTTGAAACGATGCAACAGCCCGGTGCCACCCGGATGCTTTTGACTGCCGCTTCCCCAGACATCAAGGGAGGAATTGGTTGTGGGTGATGGGGCCTATAGTTCAACGCCTCTGGAGGGCGCCCGGTTTGGGCAGGCTGCAGTACTACCTGTCAGCTTCCATGAAACATCTTCCCTGATTTATTTGTTTATAAAATTCTCATCGGAATTTCCTTAATTGATAGTGACATTCCTATGAAAGGGAATCAACCATTGCATGAGAATTATGCAGCCGAATATTAGCGAAAGCACTTAGGGCTGCTGCTTCGCTTGAAAGCAACACCAGTGGAATTATTTCGCTGTGAATTCCCTGAGTTGGGTGCAGGATGGTAAAACGATTCTTGTTCTACAGAATTAAAAAAGGATCTTCCATAGTTGTGATTGCTAAAAGGGAGGCAAATCTTTAGACCATCCTCCAGATGTTTTGGATTTCCAATCCCCATCAGCCCCAACAGCATGGCCATGACGCCTGAAGAGCAACAGGTTGGACAAGACTGTTCACAACAACAACAAAGGGGCAATCGGCAATTATTGTTATTAAGCCTGCAACTTCTCTACTCACTTAGCTAAGAAGAAACCCCTCTGAACTCGTTGAGACTTATTTCTGAATAGATGTGAATACTCTACTTGTAAACACGTGTTTTGAGAAAAGCTTGTTAAAAAGGTCCATCAACTACTGGCCTAACTTTCTCTCCCCCCCCCCCCCCCCCCGCCAATACTAAGAAACAAAAAAGTGAAACAAATGTGTTTCGGTGATTTTGTTCAAAAGGGGTTTACTCTCAGGAAAATGTCCACAGGATCGCATCCTTCAACACCTGCAGGCTTCAATCTCACTGCCTCAGCTCCCAGACATCGCTCACTCTATTGCTCCATTTCCAGTGGAAGGTGTGTCTGCTATTCATTCAGTCACTATTTCTTTCAGCCTGCCTGTCCTCTGATGCAGCTTTGACACTGTCCTGTGCAGCCCCATCACAACTCTCACCCCCTTCGATTAGCAATCAGGAACCTGTGAGGCCATGGGTCCACATTCCTGATCCATCACAAACACACCACAAAACCTAACCCAATTTTAAGCCTTGCAACCATGCCTTCGTTGGCTTGCGGATCTCTTTCACTGAACCACAGCTTGCTTCAATCAAGGTATTGGAACGATAATGTGAAGTTCACAGCCACTGCATCAGGTCTGGCAATGGGGCCATGTTTCTCCAGGCAAAATGGCACAGGGAGGGCAAA